AATTCTGAACTTACTTTTGCTTCTGTGTAGAAGTGTCTTCTGCTTTCCATCACCAGCCAACAAGTTAAAAGTTGATTATACACCAACCATCAAGAGGAGATGTTCCAAGATACAAAGGATTGTGACAGGGAAAAAGATGATATTTAAATGACATCTAACAAATACACTGCATTTCACTAAATATCATGGGAAAATTATGCCACATGCCATCAACATGCTAGCTCAAAGAGGAAGTGAAGTCTTTCCAAGAAGATTAAGTGAAAAGACAGAAATCTCAACTGAATTCAGCTGAAGATCTGAGAAACTGGTACACAAAATTCAATTCTCATTTCAGGCAGCAAACACCCAGGTAATTTATATACAATTTAAAAATTATTAAGTATTCATGTTCCACTTCTACAGCCTTAAAAGAGAAGAAAACAAGAACTCCAATTTGTTGCTAGAATATCATGTCAGCATGAGAATGAAAAAGTCACAAAAGGCCATAAGAAACTGACCCACAGGTAACTTTCCTTTAGTCAAAATGATTAACTCTTAATTATACTATTTATGAGCAAAACACATGAAGGTTATATTTTCAAGGCTACCACTTTATCAGTATGAGAAAATTTCCTTATAAAGATACCACTATATGCTACCCTATCCACCAATTTTTTTTTTTTTTTTTTTGAGAAAACAGCTATTTTGAATTAAGTGGTAACATTGAGAATTTAGTGAATTAAATACAAAACAAAGTTTATTTACATTAAATTCATGTTTGGGAATGCTACTTAAAAATGCTTAAAGAATAAGAATTGGTTGCTGAGAAGCTAACACTTTTTGATCATGGAATTAATCTTATTTTAAATTGTCTGATACAGCCCATTTGTGTAATTTGAGCATTTAATTTTCTTAATAAGAAACTAAATTTGCCCAAATTTAAATGCAGATATACATACAACATCACAGTTATCCTTGTGATTGTCACAAAAAACTCGGCCTCTCTGAAATAACAGCTTGAACAGTCAAAAAACCTCAACAAACCCAGCACATTTTTACATCAATAAACACAGCAGCTTTATAGCACCTTCAGGCATAACAACTACATTAATCTCCCTCAAAATGAAATGTTTCACAGCTAAACATTTTCCACTTTTTTTTTTTTAAATCTGGTGCACTACAGGAAACATCAACTTAACGTGGTTATTTTGAGTCAATGAAATGACTGAATACAAAATTTTAATCAAGTGTCTTAGAGCTAGAACAGTGACCCAAAACTTAAAGGAACACAGCAAAGATCTTTCTCCATAGTGTCTGTAAATATGAAATACCAGTCGACATACTTTCCCTTTTAGCACTTAATGGAGAAAAATTAGTCGAAATTAAGCATAAAAATGTAATGTTCAAAGGAGATAACATATCAGGCTTCATCTAAGAACTGTCCTTATGAGCTATATTAAAACTGGAGTAAAGGTTTTATTAACAGCAAAAATCATTGACATAATCATAAAACATACTTACCAATTTTTTTTATTTTATTAAGCATACATCAAAAAATACAGGATGCAACTACACAAAATAAGCTCACAAGCCTCAAAAATCAAACACTAATGAAAACAAAAAAAGAGAACAATCAGGTATAAAATTTGTCCTACACAAAAATTCCTAAACAGCCTTTAACAAAACAGTACTGTGACAGCCTATGGCCACAGTCTTTGGTGGAGTATTAGTATATCCCACAGCATAAAAAAATAATTGCTTTCTACATGCCAGCATATAAATAATAATGCTTAATACCTGCAGAAAAACTTTGAGATCTTTTAAAGTTCTGCAGAACACTAAGTGTTACTCACGATTCTTTATGTTGACCTTCAGTTTCTAATGCCTTCTGGCAGTAAAGCACCACAGAACATGATTTAACAGCTATTGCCCAGGGTTTCACCTCCCATTTCCAGGAAAAGAAAGTGGACATGGTTTTGCTACCAAAAAAAAAAAAGTTTAAAATACATCACCCAGTATGTGCTATGATTTGATCTGATTTCCGTCCCCCCCTCCCCTGGGGTTTTCTCATACATTCCATTGATGAGGGGAAACAGTGATTCTAGTATGGATACCAAGAATTAACTTAACTGTTACTGGTTTTTGCTAAGGCAGTGAAACCTGAGGCACAATGTCTTCCCAAATAGAAAAAGAGGTGGCACAGAATAAGAACTACTGACAGCTGGAAAGAAAAAACCCAACAAACTTTTAAACAAACAAAAACCCCAAATTACTTACATTCAAATAACTCAAAATGCATTCAATGTAACTTGATCCTCTGGAGCGAATTCAGCCCAAAGTACCAATTTATCTCTAGGAAACCTCCCAAATAACATGATAGAGATTAATCTTCATAATTATGCAGTCTCCTACAGTGCTTAGTCAGCAAATGAATTACTTCATATAGGAAAAATTTTAATGAATTTTAGTTTCTCCTTGACAAAAATACCATGCCACTGTTTCCATGATACACCCTACTTGCCTATTTAAAGCTATCGGATGGTCTTGCTGGAACAGTCTAGTTCTCTTACCCCTTCCTTTGGAAAGGTTACTACATATTTGGGTGTTTAATACCTAACATTACCTTTTGTATAAGCATTCTCTGCATAGTTTGAAACAATGCTTTACATATTAAGTATGTGAGAATATATACATACTTCTGCCAAACACACGGATTTTTAAATCTGAGTTTTATTTTCCAGCTTTTCTCAACAGTATGTGGCCAAATTATTATTATTAAAATGGTAAATGTTTTAAAAATTTAATCGCATAATAAAAGACAAATGTGAGGAATTTACAAGCAAGTATCATACAACCAGTTGCAGCTGAACTTAAATCTTTTTTGAACACCACTTATCAGAGTGTTATTCAAAATATATCATTTGCATGGAAGATCATAAATCAGATTAAAAATACTATAGATTTCTCTGGGTTTAAATGCAGGTGCATTCAGGAACTCCTTCAGTAACATACATGTCAAGTTCCATAGCTGATTAAGTCCTTTAAACTGTCATCATTGTGATGCTGTATTTCATAATCTTCCACACGTACATGCATGAAGAAACCAGACTGGTTAACCATGCTTTAACAATTTCACTAAAATCTTTATAAAGATCAAAAGAATACTGCAACTTATTGCTCTCAGCTTTTTCCTATGTCTTGTTTTTGAAGTTCTTAAAGTGGCAGACCTTGAAGAGTTGTGACTATGTAAACTATTCCACTTCTCTTTTTAAAAGTCTTCTAAACCTGCATGGATGAAAAATTAAGATGCGATCCAAAATTTAAGTCGTATAACACTTTAAAGAGTTTGAAGCAATTTGAGATGTTGAGATTGATGTGGTTTATTTAGAGGCTCCAACAATAAGCACGATTGTACCTGAATTTTAATACTGTTGCTGATTAGACTCATTTAGCAGCTGAGCCCAGTTAACCTAGGAGGACAGCATAGACTTCAGTTGCATGCTGATAGACAAGAAAAATACATCTATATATAATCTGGAAAAGTTAGCACATCTTACCACAATTCACAGCTATAAAAATATGTTTATGCACAGGCACTTGTTAATTTAATTCTAAAAAAACCCCAACCCAACCCAAACAAAAAAAACAAACCCAAAACTAACCAAAAAACCCACCCCAAAACCCCACAACCAACCAAAACAAATCTTAAATTCACGATTTTAAAATGAAACAGTTTTGGGGAACTGTCACTAATTTTTTTTTAAAAATATGGGAAGACTATGCCCAAAGTTCCAAGCTGAGCATAAAATTATGGACAAAGACAAAATTTTGTTGCAAATATTTACTCAAAAAGTAATAATTTACAGCAGTACTTTAACAGCTGTTCAAAACATTTAACATTCATTAGAAACAAAACTGTAAGTCAAAAACACATTCTGAATGTTTCAAATGGAGCAATAAAGTCCTAAGAGCAAGCTACCATTAATCATATGCATTCCTACATCTAGCTGCTAACTAGAAGACAAAAAAACCAAACAAAAAAATCAAACTAAAACCAGCAGCCATCTTTCTGTACACAATTTGGACTACAAAAAGTCCTGAAATTGAATTGTACTATTCTACTTTATATGCCCTTGCGTCCTTTTTGCAACAGTTAGCCAGTAGCAGCTGCAAAATGGCAGAATGCATGCCAGTTGGTGTTTCCAGTCTGGGGTTTTCCTTCTTTTTGCTGAAAAGTTTTTACATTAAACCGTACTTTGGTGTGACTTACAGACCATTCCTATGGGTCTACGGCTAAGAATAATTAAAACAATGATAAAAGCCTAACAGCTACAGTACTTTCAGCAGTAAGTTCTACTTTATACAATTATGTTCGGTATTTCTGCACAGCCTGCACACTGAAAACCCCACAAATATATTTTTTTATTGTAATAATTCCACTTTCACTGAAAGTTTATTAAGGTAAGCTTACAGCCTGGCAGGATTACACCTGTACAGAGGTGCATAGATTCATATAATTCTGTTTACATGCTTTTACAGACAGGAATGTGACACCAAGTCCAAAGGGTTATGTTTACCCATATTATCAGCAGACCAATAACCATCATTACAAGTGTGCTCCATTTCAGCATCAGAAGTGAATTCATATTAAATTCCACTACTTAATGATATTCACACTGAAGGATTTAAAAAAATACTTTCTTGGCAAACTAATCATCTTATCCCAGGCTAGTTAACTATAAAAATTAGAATTTACTCCTCCTTTGAAATGTCAATCCAGTAAGATATAGCACATCCAAGAGACAGGAAGATATATTTGAATGTGTTACCTTTTGTAAATTTAGTTAATTCAGTTGTACATACACATACATGCTCTCTTCATACACAAAACTTCCCTTTAGTGTCTCTTTCCTTCCTCCTTCCTTTTATTTTTAATAATTAGCATCAATGAGCACACTCATCAGGAATGGTCCATGGTGTTCTTACCATTGTTTATAACAAACAATAAAATTAACATAATTTCAGCTTGCTTCATTTTCATCTGTCTTGTTTACAGTTGTTTCCATTCTGTTGGGACTGCTTTCTTTAGAAGTCTCATCTGTTTGTTCAGAGACTTGTCCAGCTTTCTTTGATGAAGGTGCAACATTACCTTTTTGAAGAATTTCAGTAGCTTCGTGCTCTAGTACCTCCGATGGAGTCAAAGGCTCTAAATGAATACTGCCTTGTTCACTGATGTCTGAACTAACAGATTCAGGTTCATCTCTTTTTCTCAAGAACTGCTCAAAACTAACATCTTCACCCAATGTTAGTTTTAAGTCCCTTGCGTTCATTGCTGAAAGTGTAGTTTCATCCAAGCTATGTATTTTAGTCTGCTCATTCAAGATAACATTATCTGAACTTTGGCAAGTTTTCAACTCACTTTCATCATGAATACATTTTTGTTTCTCATCTACTAATTGTTTGTTATTATCTGAATCACAACATGCTCCTTTCTCATGCACAGGATTCTTTGAGCTGTTGTCAGGGAGTTCCAAGCTAGGAACATTTTCTGTATTTGACAAAGAGTTTTCTTCATTCTTTTCAACTGATGCTACTTTTTTAGTTTGATTTCTACTGCATTCTTTTGTTTCATCTGAAGAGTCATGCTCTTGTTTGCTGAAAAAAAAGAAAACAAATTATTTGTATAACAAATGAAATAAAGCAACACATGGCTGTACTCTGCAAAGTGACACTCGAAGTGATATTGCAGATTTCCTTTTCGGTATTTCTCACAAATTTTCATAGCAAGATGGGCTGAATTCAATTAACAGCTGCATTTTTTTTACCTATTCACAAACTCAGCTTTGTATTTAGCAGTCACTTAGTGCTCTTTGGTTCTTGCATTTCATCTCCAGAAAGAAAGGTTAAATTGACCCTTTTGTGTGACACATGGAATTTTCCAAAATACAATGTTAAGTTCCTCTACCTGCACAGCCTCTTTGACACAGATACAACTACTTGGAAACTTTTGTTGAGAGGAAGAAAGAAGCCAGTTCGTATTGTCATTATACCATCAAACTGACTCTGCAACACTAATGAGAGTAAAGCAAGGAAAAAAGCTAACAGTTGGAAATCCAAATTAACTTAAATCTAAAATTCAGTTGAGCAACTACAAATTTGGATTCACTGAAAAAAGTGAATCTGTGAAACAGTGTTTTCAGTCACTTTTCAGAGTAAAACTGTATGTTTATGAAAAGGAAATATAGATAGATACTGAATTATGCAAGTAAAAATTAGGATCTTACTATATAATAAAATCTAAAACACAGCATATGAACTTTGTAGACAAACTGATTGTTTAAACCATGTATTATTTCAATAAAGCCACATGCATGCAGTGCTTTAGGGTGACCAGAAAAACAAAGAAACAAACCCCCAAAACCCTCAAACCCGCCTCCCCAAATGCTTAAAAGAAAGACTGAACTGTAATACTTCAAATGCTATCTATACCTACAAAAAAACAAAACAGCCTGGTCATATTGCTATATGCAATTTGCTCATATGTTCATTTTCTAACAGTCAAAATTCTAAATACTAGTTTCTAATATTTCTCTTCATTTGTTATGGGAACACCAGCTTCTGCCATCCTTTCAATGATGGAGCTCAATTTCTGCTGTAAAGATTTAAATTTGATAAAATTTTAATATATTTCTAACCCATTCAAATTTTTTTCAGAATGAATAGCTCAAGTTACCTAAAGTGATGATGACAGACAAAAGAAAGTGTGTGTGTGTGTGTGTGGGGGGAGGGCGGAGATGGAAGAACAACAGTTGGTCTGATTTCAGACATAAATTCTATATAGGAAGTGAAATTAGGAGCAAATAAGTCTCCCAAATTAACTTTTAGAATTGAAAACTTAAATTGAAAATAGTCTCTGAACAGTGACATGCAGACAGAAGATGAAAGATCTCATCACCAAATATCTTATTAATCAAAATGCATTTGTATTGTATTTCTTCAAATTGTTTTTTAAATGGTTTGAAAAAGTTTTTAGGTAAAATTACTTTTAACATTACTTAAGCAACAGACAGTTCTGCACTCTTAAAAGGAGTAAACTATTTCCTGCTACTATCTTTTTATGATATATTTTCAAGCTGAAAGTCTACACATGTTCTTCTACTGACCCAGGAATCTAAAGCAATTCACATCATTTGCCTGTATGCCAAATGATACTGGGTTTGACAGAAAATGGTTATTCCAGAAGAGGTGCTACATACTACTAACATTCAGAAGTCTATTTTCAAGTTTTACTTTCACTTAAATAAACTAATCCAAGAATATTCCATTTCCTATTTCAAATTTAAGTCAGAGGAGTATTTTGAGTAGGGATAAGACACTGCTCAGATATCCCTGAGTGTTGAAATCTTACCAGTCACTGAAGCAGTCATAAGAATCTTTTCATCCTGTTACAGTGGTTTTTCATTCATAAGGAATTAACTCAAGAGATTGGTTAACCTTTCTACCAAATTACAACTGATATTTGCTACTTGTGTCAAAGAGAAAGGGTTTTTTCTCTTCTCCGTTTATTGGACTATCTAAATCAGTAAATGACATTCTTGAATACACAAATTTTCTATCCAAGTTCTTCTCCTCTCTCTCAAACTTCTAGAAAAAGGGGGAAAAGGGGCAATATTTGAGGGAAAACTCAAGACTAAGTTTCAGCACAGAAGCCAACACTTAGAACCACCCATCAACTGTGGCTGATGTAACTGCTCTTGCCATAAACTATTCCTAATTACCTCCTTTATTCCAGAGAAACACTTAAGTTATACAGAGCTGTATAAATACTAGTAAATATTGAGAATTGTTTTCATATGAAAATCCAGCCAACTCTTTATGAAACAGTGTGTATACGTGACCCTTAGCTACTAATATTCAACAAGCAGCTTAAGGGTGAGATATAGTTGCAGAGTTAACAAGCACAGTATTACACTTTATGTGGGAAGTTTTGAACACATATATGCAAAAAAAAAAGTTTTAAAGTAAGGAATGACTAATGCCTCATTAACACACACAGAGCAGTGTTTCCACACGGGAAATCCCCAGTGGATTACATACACACATGAGATTCACACTGAGAAACTCTTCAATGCACAAATCTGCCCTCAACATTTAAAAGGAATCCATCACAATCTCCCTCACCTTCTAGTAACCAAAATCCTAGCTTCATCCAAACCCAGCCCCTCAGTCTCACTCATTTTTGGCAAAACACAGGAAAGGAAAGAGAGGAAGAAAAGAAAAAATAATATATATTCATTTCTTATACAGAAAAAAGCTCTTATCAGCATACCTTCCCATGAGTCTTTTATACCAATAAAAGAGTATAAAAATGAACAAGTTTTTGCACAACAATCACCATCACAAAAACAATTATCCACAGAGAACATTTACCTTTTAGATCACTAAGCACAACAGTAAGTTCACTTAGAAAAGTTATCCAATGAAATAATTTACCTCTGCTAAGAGCTACAAATGAATATGCAAAACTTAGCAATTGTGACACACTAAAATCCCGCAATAAAAAGAGAAGTCACATAGGATTTCAAGAAATCATCCTGTTAGTTGTTGAAAACAGAATAGCCTTCCATCCAGTATTAGGAATGAAATGTATTCTTACTAAGCTATGTGCCAACAATACTGGCTACGGTGTAAGAAAACAAAATATTCAGACATCAAAAAGACCAGAAAATGCGAGAATGATAGTAACTATTATATAAAAAGGAGGATTTCAGTGAACAATTAGAATGTAAAAATCCAGCTTTTGTTTAATGAAAACAAAGAATCCATTTTCTAAAACATGATACAAACCATGGCCAGACTATCAAATATGGGCTATACTAATGAACTAGTTGCCATATTGTCTATGTGAAATCAGGTTTTAGAGTAAGACTACTTTAAGGGAGTAGCGTAAGACAATTTTGAATCCAAAAGATGAGTCTATAAGGTGCAAACATACACCCACCCCAAGCTACAGAAGCCTAGAAATTAAAGGGACTTTTTTTCTTTTTCTCATTGTATAGGAAATATAAGATTTGGGTGCCTAGTGAGGCTGAGGGAAGCTAGGCTCTGAATAGTTGTTGTTTCAAAATCCTAGTAAAGTTTTTTTTCTGTTCTTTGCTATACATATTCACTTAACTTTAGAGTATTTTATTATTTTATATTTGTATTTTATATTAAGATTTCACAAATTATTCAGGGAAAATTTTTACAGCAAGAAAAAAAATCACAACTTCAGAACAGAACTATGAACAAGTGACATTCACACATCTGCATACAGAGTAGTTGCAAAGTATGTGCAAATACACCTTCAGTCTGTGGAAAAGTATTTCCAGGTAATAAAACTTGTATTACACAGCTACATTTACATTAACAGTTTGGTATAAAACACCACCATGGTTTTGAGGCACATCCCTTGATTGTTCCAAAATACAAACTGGTTTGGTTTACAGAGCAGTCCTGGGGTATGCAAACTAGATTTCTTTTTTGAAGAAAGTGAACTGGAAGCTGTGATCCACAAGTACACCTAACAGAGCTGGATCCTCAGGAGTCCGAACCAACAACAGATGTTCCACACAGCTCTGAATATGTGCACAGTACAGGTATTCTGTCCAAGGAACACAAGTCTGATCTAAAGTAACACCTCTGAACCACAGTGCAGTGAAGATGTACGATTCTCAGAATCAAGTGCTTTCATCTAATGCACTAATTACTTACTAATATCAACATTACTACCTTGGCTTAATAACAATCAATGGTGCTGGAACTACAATGTTCCAGATGTCTGCCTTAAAGCCCATAAAGTAGTATCAAAGTTTTAACAGAAAACACAGAACATATTTACATATAAAAATTATTTTTGTCTACTTAAACACAAGGATAGGAGCAAGTAGTACATCATATACAATTAGAATTACAGTAACTGTTTACTAATCTGTAGCTTAAAGACAGAGTTAGCTTCTAATACCTGAATCATTTAGTCTCAATTCTTAAGCAAGTATTTTAAGTGAAAGTAAAATTTCAAATTATTTGTCCCACACTGCACATAACTAGAGAGATAAAGCAGAACCTTTTCCAAGAAAAAGTAACCTACAGAGAGACTTTTTTTTTTAAAGGCAGTATAAATAAGCTTTTAAAGGTTAAATTAGCACCAACAATTGTGAAAGATTACTAACTTAAAAGACATTTCAGGCTGCAGGATCTGGAGTAATAATTTAGATTAGTTATATGAAGTATAAGTCTGCCCACAATACATGCCAAAAGAAGTTTATAAGATTTCAATTAATGCCCTAGACTGACATTAAAAATGCCACAATTTTACATCTCTAAGTGTAGAGCTATAATTGTTAGTTACTGAATTTCACACATTTGCTCTGCTAAGAATTTGACTGAGTATGCTTTCTACAAATTAGGTTTTTTTAAACACCTAAATGAATACCCAAGAATTAACATTTTATATTGTATTTTAAAATCATTTCCCCAATTGCCCCAGTAATACTGTTACCTTATATGCAATATTATTTAAAAAATGCTTCTTTTAACATTCTATATAGTTTATTTAATGTCTTGTGAATCTTGACTAATTTGCAGTTTAAGCATTACTAAGAATGCATTTTGAC